GTGTGTGTATGTATATATATATATATATATAATTAAATAACCAGAATGCGCATGCCCTAGCCATTAGGCTTTATGTGGAGAAACTGAAATCGAATATAGTTTGCCTAAATGCTTTCAGAGCAGGTTGCACATCATTCCGTCCCTCTATCTAGTTTTGTTGGTTTTAACCTTGTTTGAGTAAGATGTTGTATCGGAGTGCCACAACCATGATAGCTTAAAACTTGAGCAGCGCATATTACTTTCAAATTTCTTGGGACATTAAAAAAGAATCCAACTGAACTTTTTAGATTGTTAAAGGAGGTGTTTGAAGACAATTTCATGTTACATAGTCACATTTTTGAATGGCACAAACGATTTTTGGAAGGTTCCGGAGGTTGTCAAAGATGATGAATGTTCTGGTCATTCGGTAACTTAAAGATTTAATGAAAACATTAAAAAAAAATAATCGTGCATGAAGACCGACATTTGAGTGTTCGAATGATGACAAATATTGACTGAGAGACAATGAAAAAAATTTTGATCGAAAACTTGCGTATGACGAAGATTTACACAAAACTGGTACCAAGAAACCTGACATGTACGACGCTCAACGCGCTTGAGCATTCACCATACTTACCAGATCTCACACTATGCAATGTCTACCTGTTTCCAAAAGTGCACTGAAAGGAACTCATTTTCAGTCTGTAGAAGAGATGAAAGCAAACATGGCAGACTTTCTGAAGAAAGTGAAACTTAATGACCTGCATTACTACTTTGAGCAATGGAAAACTTTTATGCATCCGATGTATTGATAGGGAAGGGGAGTATAATGTTTTCAATAAAGGTTATTTTTAAGATAGTCCGGTTATTTAATTGTCACACCTCATATATGTGTATATATATATTAGTTTGATATTGTGGATAATTAACTATTTGCTCAAATTTTTATGTATCAATTCAAATGAAAAAGTATTGAATGAGTGCTTTAAAAGTGAAACTGTACAGCACCAAGTCAAGTTAGAGGTTTAACCTCGTATGTAATCGTATGATAGGCCATTTACCAGAGGTCCAAAATGAGGCAACGGTTAAAGAAGCTTTTAGAATTATTATTGCAGACAAGGAAAATAAATTTTTTTTCCAAAAGAAAATTCCCCATTCTTTGCTCAAGAAGTAAAAGTTACTTCTTTTCCTGACATGGTGAAACATGTTTAATACTCTGTAACAAAAGATCCCACTAAGTGTTTTGTTTTATACATACTATTGAGTATTTATACAAAAATTTTATAAGGTTTAGAGATTCTAATAGTTATTATTTATTTTCTTAATAATAATGTGAGACCTTTCTGAATAATAAAATTAGACCTTTTAGAGTTGCATCAGTTTAATGTTTCTTTATGCTACATTTTTAAGGTAGGTGCAAAATTTATTAATTTTCTTCTAAATAAACAATATTATATGTTTTCACTTTTTAAAATGTAATATTACTCTAAAGGTTATGCAAATTTGTCTTCTCTTGATTTTATGTGTATATAATTAATAGCTTAAAATGCTTGAATATGAGTTAAAGAAAATTCAAAATCATAAAACTGTTTTTTTTATTTTTTATTAATATTAAATAATGTGAGCTTCTTAGATTAGTGTTGAGTTTTTCAAAGTTGAATAACTGATTTAATATGTTTGTCATTTATTTTTGCTATTTTCTTATGTTTCCTGCACTTTCTTGTTGGATAAATTAAAACTATTAGTTTATTTTTCTCTCGTTTTGTCCATGGAATTTGTTAGAGATTTAAAATAAAATAATGCCCTTTTCATTAAATAAATTTTAATTTCCAGTTTTCAAAATTTTATGTTCTTAGGTTTTCCTTTTCTGTTTTTCGTTTTCTCAATAATTAACTTATCAGTGAAATTTGAACAAAATTAAAAATCATAACATGGTTTACTCTTCTTTTGATAAATTATAATCTTTATACTAGAAAAATTTATTGGATTATTTTAAATTTGTAAAATTTATTTTAAATATCAAATTATTTTATCTTATTTTTAAATTATTATAACTTATTTTTTGCTAACCATTTTTACACGTTTTTTTTCTTATTTAAATGTTTAAATTTTCTGTGTATAATAAATTTGAAATGTGTCTACAAATTTCAAAATGTCCTTTTTAATTGAAACACTTTCTTTAAATTTTATTTCTAAGATTCATCAAATGTTATAAAACGTCTTTTAAAACATTAGTCTTATAAAGGACAAACATGGTACTTGTTCTACCAGTATTTTGAATGTGTGAAACACTGTCCTACAAGTCCCAACATATAATAGCAATTCTTACTATAACAGTTGTTATTATTTTTCAAAACAAAATTTTATATGAGCCAGACCAAGAATTATACCTTTTTTATTATTTTTATAATTCTTGGATCTGTTCAAATTTTTTTTATATTTTTTAAATATAATTTATAATGAACCTGCCTTTTATGAGATTCCAGATTTACCAAACAAAGGGAAATTATATATCTGGAAGCAATTAAGGAAAATTGTTTTTTATGTTTAATTTTTTTATACTAACCTTGAGTTCAGATTTAGCATGTGACCAGATTTAATAAAGATTTTTCTGTTCCCCAGTTTCTTATTTTCAATGGGTTCTACTGTAATCTTTTTTTTTATTTATTTGGTTTTAGCTGGAATATGCAAAACACTGTAATTTGTGTCTGCATTTTTAGAAAAAAAAATTTCAGCTAATATGTGATTCTCTGAAATTTGTTCTACCTAATGCAAAAGTCTCTCTAATGCAAACGGCAAGTATTTAAGTTTTTATGAAACATGAGGTCAAGGCCATTGTAATATCAAAGCAACACAACTTAGGACATTATTTTAAGTTTTGGAAGGGGGAAAAAAACATACTTTTTTAATGCTGAATTTTTCATTATTTCGTATGATAAATGTTGTTCACAAGAGTATTGCTATGGTATTTAATTTCATGAAATTTAATTTCACTTAAATGCTTTAAGTCAAAATCTTTGTTATAATGACAATATTATTGAAGTGATTATGATCTAAACTATAATGTAAATTATTACCTCTCCCTTAAAAACATAAAAGATAGAACTATTTAAAATTTGAAAACTTGTACAATTTTAAAAAAGAAATGTATGTAAGAAAAATTTTAATCTTTAATTGATATTCAAGAAAAACAAAGTAATTTAATGCTTGCAAAAATTATGAAAAATAGTAAGAATAGAACTTATTACATTCTGCATAAAAGTATCTAGGATATTGATAACAAACATAGATTACTAATAACAAAAAAAACCTATTTTTTAAATTAAAATTTGTTTGTGAAATTCTTTTAAAAATTGCATTGTCACTACTGTCAATTTTGGTCCAGTAAAGAGTGATGTGAAAAACTGGCATGTTGCATAGTATTACATACACAATGTGAAAAACTGGCAAAATCAATGAAAGACAAGTTAATGTGATTGAGATTTTGTAATTGCAGTGAAAAAAAAAATTATTTTTTTTAAAAAAATTATAGGAATACATTCAAAGAAAATAGTTGAAATGTTATTAGAATAAAAGCTAGCTGAAGTTTTAATTTGGTAAAAAAAATTTTTAGCTTCTGCAATAGGGTAGGTGAGGTATCAAGGCAAAGCATAGAAATTCTATTTTTTATTAGTTAATAGTTCTTATGAAGTTCAAATGATATTAGCTTCTCTCTATTTTCAAATATTTAAAAATCCTTCTTTAATGACAGTAGCGTTGATTCTCTGACTTGCCAGGATGTGCACAGTAAAGAATTCAATTTTTAAATGGTTATGCTAGAATAAATATCACATTTTGGAAAAAAAACTATGAACCTTTTACTATCAGTAAATACGTTTTTTAAGAAATATGGAAGTGGTTTTAAGGCCAGTCATTATCCAACACCCTGTATAACTTGTTTACACTGAGATATATACATATATAACCGTAAATTGGCATAAACCAGTCCTGAGGAGCAGGCTACCACATGGGTATGGCTCTAGAAACGTAAATAAGACTGCTTGTCATGCTTACTAATAATGATACAAAATTTTTGTTTTAAATGGGAACAAAAAAATTTCATTCAGGTTCATGAAATGATAAAATTAGGTTACTACAGACCCCAAAAGTGCTCTGTGTTTGCGATTACTTCAGCTCTACTCTTTCTGGTGTTAAATTGTTATATATCTATTTTCTTTACTTTTTTTTGATCCAATGATATACAATTTCATTTACTTTGTAAGATTAAAAAAAATAAACATACATGTTATTGTAATTCATATAAATATCATACTGCATATAGTTAGTCTTATTTTCATTCAAATTTAGATTTACATTCTTTATTTTAATACAATTGGAATGTTACTTGAAAAGAGTTTCTTTTTTTTATATAAATGTAGCATTTTTCCTTATTTATATAATCATATTTCTGTCAATTAATTAATTAATGCTATTGTGCAGAAATATTTTTAGTTCTTTTAAAATATGTAGAATTATAAACATTGATGTTTTAAAGCTTTAGATTGATCCTAAATACACAGTAAAGATATATGTATAATTATTATAGCATTTTTAACTAATTTTTAATCTTTCTAAGTTTTGATTCATAATTTGTTTTTCTTATTCAAAACAACTACTTTAATGACTTTATTTTGACATTGTAATTCAAAAGAATAATATTATTGCAATAGAATTTAAATAAATTTCAGTGAAAATTGATCTGTTTTATAATTTTATTTTCTAAATCTAAATATTAGGGGAAGACTGCCACCCTCATTACAAAAAAAAGTTTCTTAAATGATTTTAAGAATATATAAATAAAGATATGTTATTTTCTTTTTATAGAATTAATAAAAATGTTAGTAAAAATACAATGTTTTGTTTCAACAGCAACATTTGAATGAGATTCTATCATTGTGCTGTAATTCATAAAGTTCGATGTGCACAGATTCATTAAATTAAGTGAATAATGAATTAAATGTAAGGTATAATAAGCATATTTATAAAGTTTGAACATTTAAGCTTTATTCAATAAATACCAAATTTTTATAAATAACTAGTGACTAGATAAGAAGATCACAAAATATTCATCAGTCATAAAATTTAAAAATTTCACAAACAACAGCGCACACAACAGTAATCTCAAATTAGTTTAATTGTTGGGAGATCATTTTTATAAAGACAAGAGGTTTTTATGTGTGCGATGATAATGGAATGTATATATTCCTCTTATAACATTTACTAAGTTATTTGTTGTATAACATTAATCTTTAAAATGGGAAAATGTTATGTTTTCCAAACACTATTAGATTGAAATAATTGAATATGTACAGTGCGTAAAATAAAAAACGTAACACCCCCAATAATTTTTGACCTAATGATCAAATTTCATGTGCTTAAAAAAGAATCTTTTTATCATGTTCATCTCATTAAATGAATCGTGGATTATTTTTTTTCTAGCATTTGTGACATTTAATAAATTGAAAAGAAATTTAACAATTCAAATTAAAATAATATTACATATTTTCAAGGAAATTTATGTATTAGCATTCTTCTTGATAACGAAGTAGGCAGATCCCTAATGAAGTATTACACAATTTTTGGTCGGTTTAAACGTTAACATTTAAGTAAACTTTTTATTAAAATTTGATTGCTTTTATTTCGGTCAGATCAATTTGCATTAAGTATAATTTGTAATACAAAGAGTAAAAAATTTTAAATTAAATGCTACAGCTAATATTCAGATTTTGAAAGTAAGCATGAATTTACAGAGTTCAAGGAATTTCAACAATACATTCCTTCAAAAAATTTTAATTACAAGCATAATTAGGTTTAATATAAATCTTGTTCTTATTAGCATACGAAAATAACAAAATGCTTGATGTTCTTAAATAGGATGAATATTAGAATGCTTCTGATAAAAAGCTTGAAAATAGGCAATATAAATTTTTGTTAAATGGTCGCTCTAATTGCAAAATAAAATTTAGTCCTAATAGAAAATCTACAAAATAGTCCTAGTTTCAATTCAATGTGTGACAATCATGATTAAAGCTTCTTTTCTAAGTTCTAATCTTCATGGTGTCAAGGATACCAGTTTTATGTGCTAATTGATTGTTGCTATACAAAAATTAATTAAGAAGTGTAATTTCCTTGCATTAATATACTTTTATTATAAAATATTTTGCCCTCAAAATATAGAGGATAATACAGCATTTTGAAAAATGAAGCTGCAGTAGTTGAGATAGCTTCTTAATCTTAGTTTTACTATTATTTTGTTTCCAATGTTACTGAAATTAATTGCACAAATCAAAATCTTTTTGACACTATTATAAAATGTGTTTATCCAAAAGTAGTTTCATGTGAAAAATTGTTTTTAGCAATGATTATTTGATAATTAAAAAAATTTGAGCTAAAAAGAATAATTTCTTTCTCATTACTTTTGCAACTTCCTCATTTCTTTCTCATTACTTTTGCAACTAGCATTAATTCAAAAGTTTATTTAAATTTGTTAAGTAAATTCAACGAAATGATTTGAAAAAGCTTACATTTTTAATAAAAAGTTATATTTTTATTTTTCAAAAATTATCCAATGTATTCTTTTAAAAGTTTAGATGATAAAGTTAAGTAGTTCAAAAATTTGTATCATTATATCTAAATCTAAGCATCAACATGTCATTAATTTAGCTACTCCAAGAAGTTTATTATTCCTAAATTAACAGTTCTTGAAAACCTTTAATTGTTATTTTCTTATGGATTTTTACTTTTAAGATTATATAGTGTTGTTGTTTCTAATGCTACTTGCCAAATACCAGCAAGCCTTCTTCACAAAATCAAGGGAATTTAAGGTAGAGGGTGCATTTCTTGTTTTTCAGTGGCGCCATCTATGGCCAAGAATACGACTTTAGCCACACGCACGTTTATAGAGTTGGGCCATTCATTTATTTATTCATTGATTGTAGTTTTGACCTGAACCAGGGAACAATCAATCTCCGATTCGGTACCCCCTGAGGTATTGATTTGTTATGGGAACATTGAGGGCTTGATCTGACAGATTCAACCTGCACCAGTCACCATTTACTACACATAGAGTCTTAGGCCCATGGGGACTGTGGCCCGTGGGGTCTCACAACCTCTTGGACATGGGCCCAACGCCCCACCAACCTGGCCCTGAGATTGCATAGTTAGAGGGATAAGTCTTTATGCCTTTCAGATCAGAATATTTTGATCATTATTGTATCAAATGATAATAAATGTTTATTAAAATTATTTTTTACATAAAAATTTCTTTAAGTAATTAAGTTTTTCTTGTTTTGTGCAAAAAGTTTTGGATTCATGCAGTTAATCCAGATATAATTAAGAAAAAGCAACTAGTGAGAATAAGATCAAGGGTACCACATAGTAGCTATCCTCCATTGTTTGTAGAATTTATTGTTGCATTTACATTGTATTCATTAACATTCATTAATTAGCATACCTTAAGTAGACCTTTCCAACCATGAAGATCAAAAGGTGTTTTCCACTGTACTTTTATGTACTAACATTGAGCATAGTATAGTGTTTTTTGAAAAAAGGAGGACTCTTAACCAAAAATGGCTATTCTATTCCATTTGATCCACTTACGAAAAATATTTATATTTATTAATATCTATTTGTAGCCCTTTTTTGAGTTAATTTTCAAAAAATATTTCAAAATACTCTTTTATTTAAAGAAATATTGTTTAAAACAGGACTATTTTCGAAATATTTCTGGCAAAGAATAGTATATAGCACCTCATATACTCGAATGAATACACTTTTGAGAATGTGCTTTTTTTTTTAAATAATTAATATGGTTTTGTGATATGACACTTATTTTCAAAATGTAGACAATTCTTTCTAGTCAGAACTTAATTTGCATGGGAGCTTAGATCCTGTACTTTTAATCTTTTTTCTTTTTCATCGAGCTTTTTCATATCAGAAGGATAGATTGGATATTTTTTTATAAACATTAACACATATCAACTTTGTCATTTTCTACCTAATTTCTGCCTAATATGCATTAGGACTTTTTAACTTCTTATTTTTCAGAAATTAAGCATTGGTTTGCATACTGCAAAAATGCCATACCTTCAGATTCTTTTATCCCTTTAATTTTTGTCCAATTTACTTGCAAGACTAACCGCTAATTTGATATCATTGATGAAGTTTCCTTAAACACATAGGAAATTTTTTTAAAAGAAAATTTAGGCATATTTAAGAATTTGCTCTAAATTTCAGTTTTTTAAAATTTAATAATACCAAAACTGCAATCACCGAACTCCTATCAACAGAAACTGCTATAGTCATTAACAGGTATAAGACTAAATGGGAACACCTGTAAAAGAATGCAAAATTTTTATTAATGTGGAGTTAGACCACTATCGGCCTGAATTACAGCTTGTATCTGACATGGGATTGACAAAGAAAGGGTGTGCCCAAATTTTAAAGGTAATATGCAGTCATTTGAGTTTCAATAAGTGTGCGTGGAGGAAGAAACTGAGTGCGGAACTCAAGAGAAAAAAACAACCCACAAGAGCTCAATGATATTGAAATCAGGGGTCTGAGGACACAATTTAAGATGATCCACTGCATCATCACTCTTATCTAACCATGTTTGAATACAGCAAGCCATATGTCAATGTCAGAGGCATTGTCATCTTGAAATATAGATCATTCTCACAGAAACAGGATTTGAATCACTGGGATAAATGATCTGAGAGAATACTGTGATAATGCTTGCATCTGACTTAACAGGCACTAAGCAACACCAAGACCTCACCTCACACTATCATAGAACCCCCTCTATACTTCACAGCAAGAACCAGCCAATATCAAATGCTTCTGTTAGTTTTTGCCAGAGAAACACATCCAAGGTGGTCTAAAATAATGTAAATGATGATTCGTTAGACTAAAATACCTGTTCCATTGATGTTGTATACAGTTTCAGAAATCTTAAATCTTTGTGTCACTATTGCTGCTTCTTAATATTCTGTGGCGACGTGATCGGTTTTGGTATATTTACTTTGCTCTAAATGTTTGCAGCTCCTGTTACATGGTTTTGATGGATATGGTGTTATGAAGATAAGTTGTTCATCTCGAAGGTTATCTGGGGCATAGTTGTGTTCTCTTATTGGACAATTACCCTCTTTAATACTCGTTTATCCCAGGTGGTGAACTTCGTCTTTCTCCTTAAGTTCAGCTTTGCGAAGAATATCTTTCCCGGTTTTGTGTAGTCTGTCATATATTCTATTTAGATGAGGTCACTCCAGTGAGGTCAAGCATGCCTCTTTGCAGGTTATATATGATAGTGTTTTGTTGGGAACTGAATTTATTTGTGAACTCATACAGACAAGCTCTGATTCTTCCTATTTTACAGTCTCTAGATGACAAACTTTTGCTATGCATGGTCAAACTGTATATGATGGTCAAAGTACAACACATTTCAATATGGGTGTTCCTATTATATTGTCTTATACCTGTACATTTTGTTAAATAATTTTGAAGTATGATCTGTAACACAACTGCCCACTAATTTAGCAAGGAATTAAAATATAAAATATTTTTAGAAATAACTGTTTTGCTTATGAATTAAATGCGAGTAATTTATTAGCAATTGCTGAGAGATTTTCGGTTGATAATAGTAATGATTGATAAGAAATATGAAATACCTAATAATTTTTAGAATGAATAACTTTTTGAACAACGCGATACCATGTTGTTAAAATAACTGAATTTGAAAAGAGCATCTCAACGTAGTTACTTAATTGAGAATAATGCTAAAAGAAAAATAAATAAAGGCATGAGATTTGTCTCTACCTTAAAAATTATCTAACCTCTTCTTACTGCTGAAAGCGTAGCCAAGATATTCTTAACTAAATAAATATATTACGAATTATTATTTTAAAGAGCAAAAAAAATATGTTTTTGTGGGGGTCGAAGGGTGCTCAATGCATTAAGATTAGAGAGGAAAAAAAATTTTATATACTGTCTTTTGAGTACTCATTTTGTAAATTTATTTTTATATAATTATCATGAGGACTTCATTTCAATCTTTACAAAATTACTATTTGTCTTTCTTTTTCTTTTTTACTTCTATTAGCACAGTTTATTAACATGTTTTAGAACATATTTGAAAAATTTTAATTCCAAATTGAGAACCATTTGTCTATGTTCCATGGTTTCATAAGATTAAGGGTGCTTTTTCAAAAAAAAAAACGCAATTATACTTCATAAATTTAATAAATATTAAAATATGGAATTAAAATAATTTTAAAAATAATCCTACTTAATCTTATTAAACTTTAAAAACTTTTTAGTTGAGTAAAAAGCTTATATTTTTAAATATATTTTATACTTGAAACTGTTATAAAAACGAAAACAATTACACAAAAGATTCTAGCAATTGTCTTCCATCAATGTACTTTGTAAAAAGGACTTAGACTTCTTAATTGTAAAGTTCTGCAACTTTGCAAATTTATATTGAATATTGATGACATTTGAAAGTTCCTTGCAAGTTTAACAAATTGATATTTTGAAAATTAAGTTGTTGAAAAAAGCATGCTCGTTAATTTTTTAGTGATACTATATAAATAGGATACATAAACATCCTTCATCATGGTCTTTGCTTCGGTTAACGCTATTTTAAATCGATTCTGTTCTAATTTTCAGCATTAAGGGTAAAAATATTACGGCAAAAAAACAATGTAATTGATATGTTTTATTTATACTATATTATATTTTATAAGTTGTTTTTTTTATCAGATTGATATGTTCTTTTTATTATTGATATTTTTATTTGGGCTTCAAAATAGGGCTATTGTCATTTTAATGAACAGAGGGAAAAATTTCCTTTTTAGCCATTCTTTTAATCTACAATTTTTTAAATGAAAAATTAAATAAAAAGGAATCACTTTACATGTTTGCTACACAAAAAAAAAATCACACTGCCCTTTCAAATGTCATAGTTAGACTAAAATTTTAAACGATAAAATTTTTGCTTTATATTAAATTGTAGCTCTCTTTTTATTTGCTCTTTATTTTGATTATTGATATTTGCTTCATAAAACAGGTGCAAAAAAAAAAAAAATGAATCATTGAATAGCATTAATAGTTTTTTTGTATTAGAGTCCCCCTAAATTAAGACATGTGAAACAAAATTCAATCTAACTCATAAACATGCAATATTTCACGCTATAAACAAAATAAGTGTTGGAATCGATTTCACATCAAAAATTTCTGATTTTTGTGAAGTTTGTCGGTACACCACTTAATATCATTTGAATAATTTATGCAGTTGGTGAAACTTTCCAGAAAATATAAACTTCATTTTTTTTCTCCTTGGATAATCACGCAACTGCTGACGAATCAAGGCAATTTTTTGAACACAAGTGGGTGTTACATAAATTAAATTTAAAATAGAATAAACAAAGGACTTAGGGATTATCTTCAGGAGAAGAAGATTGTGGGTGAGGAACCGCTTTCACATGTCGAATGGTTGGTTCATCAATATGCTGAGTATATTTAGGACCGTACAAACCGGTAGATGGGTGTAGTCGCATTTTTTCAGGATCTGATGTTCCTTCACTCTTCATTAAGAAAAACATTCCAAAATTCAGTTGAGGAATATCATAAAGCACAGCCAGGAAGAGCATCATAAATGTTAGACCTACTAATAAGTAACCTAAAAAATACAATTCTTAGTTACTTCCAATGTTACTGTGATATATAACGAAATTTTGAGCAATTGATGGTATAACTAAAAACATTTAATTGCGAATTCTTCAGTGAAAAATTAACAAGCATTAATTCTTTTTTCTTCTTCTAATTTTTACATAAGCCAAGATGGAGAACATTTTCTTAAAATTGGCAGTAAATTAAAAAAAAAATCCCTTTTTACATTGACAAGCGTGTAGAAGAATACAACTCTAAATGGCAATAAAGAAAGTTTTAAAGCTTCAGTTGAAGATTTAAGACAAAGTGCACCAGGCAACAAATTATAAAAAATCAATTCAAATTTATTGTAAATCTTATACAAATTAAATTTTTTTAGTTTTTATGTCAACCTAAATTCTGAAATATTTATTTGTAAGAAATGGTTATTTTGCTTACTAAAAAAATGAAAGTTATGTGTGTAATAAAAAGAAAATAGGTATCATTTTAATAAATAAGGGAGAATATCTCCAAATTTTTAAAGAATATTAGATAATTTTCTGTGGGGTAGCAATTCTCAAAAAGTTAATGCAAATTCAAATTTTTACAGAGTGGAAGACAGATTTATATTTTCTATAGAATTCAATTTTAAGTACTTTTTGCAAAAATAATTAAAAAAAAACTCACAAATTATTGCAGAGGAAGTATCATGTCCCCTCATATTAAAACTATATTTGTCATAGTCATAATCTATGATTGCTTAAAGCTTTTAGGCTTAATGGGGCTTTTTTCCTTTTCATATTTAATTATCAAATCAAGTGACAAGGTCATCATGATTTAGGATTTAAAAAAAAGATTTTTAGATCCTGAAGTAACTATTACTGTTGTATAAAAATTTTGAAGTACAGTAGAACCTCAATTAACCGAGCTTCGATTAACCGAGGTTTCTGTTGAGCCGATAATGAAGTATGTTTTTTTCTCCTGATATTCTTGTAGTATAATCATTGCGAAAAGTGGTCTCTGTAATTCAATAACTCTTGTTCTATATATAAATTAGTAAACCATAATTAATGAACAGTAATTAATGAACTATAATTAATAATTTAAAAACTATAAATTTATGGCAGAAATTTGGTATACATAAAATTACCATAGGATATTCCTCAAGACATTGCTTATGATAAAATTTTACCATATACTTTTACCACATACTTAAGGCAATTATTATTTCCCATATACACTTATGGCAACAATTTGCCATACATTGAAGGCAAAGGTGTATGGCAAAATTTTACCGTAGGCAAGACCTTATAGGAATATCCTATGGTAATTTTTTCATGGTAATTTTTTTTATGGCAAATTTTCTTAAGTGGAATGAGCCCTAAAAAATGACCACGCATTTTAGTTCACTACCCAGCTCTACCGCCCCCGAAAATACTCAACTTCCAAGAAATATTACAGCACCTTCAGAAGTCAACAGGGACAAACAATGCTTTGTTTCCACCAGGTGCAATGTGTTATCGGACTGCATTTTTTTTTAACAATGTACTTTTGCAACAAAGGTAACAGAATATTTTAGGAAATGGTAATGCAAAATTAACAAATTAACGTATATTAAATTCATAAAAAATAAAATAATTTCTTGAAATTTGTGTTATTTTTAAAAATGCATCTTTTAGTTTGGAATTTTTTTCTTAATTATTTTTAAAATTATTTTCCGTTTAAAATTTATTACTAGTAGTTAATTTCTCTTTTAAATTTGTTGAACTATCAAACATAACTTTATATATGTTTATTTTTATCATTTAAAAAACTTTTTTTAATTCAAAAGATGTTGAATTTGCGAGCAAGGCGAGTTTTTAGATACAGTTTCTATTAACCAAGATTTCTGATATCCGAGGTACTAGCGATCAAAATTAGCTCGGATAATCGAGGTTCTACTGTACTTAAATAAATTGCAAAGCATTTCAGCGCAAAAGAAACGAAAAGGAACGAGAACGCTCTTGTAGTAAACAGACAACTGCTTTCATTCTGATTGGTCCATTCAATTCTAAGTGACGTCTAAGTATGCTTCTCTTCTGATATTCTTAGGCTTAATACCGAATTCGTAAAAAAAAAAAAAAAAAAAAAAAAAGTTCTGCATTGTTTTGATATAACTGTTAATTCATGGGCAGTCAGATTTTGGAGAACTTGTGAATTTATGATATCAGATCAGCAAGAATCATATAACAAAATATAGTCTTTGACAAAAAAAGAAGCCGCACAATGTAAAGTCCGGCAGGGAAGTTAACTTTTTCGCAAAAAATAAAACAATGAATAAAATTGAATATAAGACATCCTTAATTAGAGACTTGGAAAATTATTTGATATCCAAAAGCATAAATATACTTGTAGAAAAAATTTAAAGCCCAATACAATGGATAAAAAATGTGAGATTTATCCAAAATTTGGCGTGGCAAATTTTTCAAAGGTCTTTTTGTACAACAAAACCTACTGCTACATAGATTTTGAAAAATTTAGTTCTTTTCACAATAAAAATACTTTAAACACAAAACATACCTGTAGTACAAACTTTATAAAGTGGTCGGTAAGGTTGATTCAAACTATCTCCTGGTATTAAATCACCGAGTCCAACAGTTGTCAGAGATATGAAGCAGTAATAAATAGAGTCTAAATAATTCCAATTCTTTTCTAGTGCCGAAAACACTCCGGCAGGAATTAGAAAGAAGAAGATGAAAACAATGAGCTGAAATATTAATACTGGTTTCAGTGACATTTAAAAAAAAAAATCAAAACACAGTATTGGTACTTTAACTTATGACATTGGTACATTGAATCATGATATTATGAAAAAAAATTGTTTTCAGCACTTTAATATTTTGTTAGGTTGGAATACTGTTCCCTTTAATAAAGCCTTGTCTACGTAATTAATTTTAAAAAAAGGATAGATTTGTATATAAAAATAGTTTAATTTGCTGCAAATTTGATTGCTATCATGGTTAAATGTGCACCAAAATTTTCAACATGATTTTATTTTATTTATTTTTTTAAATGAAATAGTAGTTAGCAAATAGAAATTTTTGATAAATTTCACAAATGTTTATTCTCTTTTTTGCAGTGCGTGAAATAAGAAAGGTCACCAGCATAACTTTTGATCTAATGATCAGAAAGGGGTGACCTTAAATATGCTGATTAGGTAATAAATGCTGGTAGTAGAAACTATCAGCTTAAATATGTTGATAGTTCAGATTATATTTTAAGTTACGAAATCAGACGTACCTTTTTTTCGACAAACGTCTATAATGCTTGATCCTCGAAATATGGGAGGCAGCTGCAATCTGGGAAATATGATTCCAATTGTTTGGTGAGGAGAGCGGTAGTAAGTTTATTTAATGTAACTAGTAGTTAATATTAATATGAATCGAAAAATTTTTACTCACAATTATTAAATTCGTTTATTCAGAGATAATTCGCCTTGCAAATTTTTTTTAATAATTATTAATTATTTTTTTATTATTTAATTTAATGGCTGAAAAATATTTAAATAGTAAGGTATACAAATTTTTACATTATTTTGAAGAATGTAATTTTACATGGCGAATTACAAAATTTGTACGAAATCGGTAGAATTGTTTAGATGTTATCAAATATTAAAAAAGTCGTATACTTAAAATTCGATTTCTCAAGAACTATATCTTACCGATTTCGTTTAAATTTTGTATTTTGCAATTTAAAATTACATTGTTTAAAATGATGTAAAAATTTGAATTCCTTACTATTCAAAGTTTTTTGACTGTTATTAAATTAAGTAATAATTATTGAAAATTATTTTCACCTTGGAATTATAATAGACGAATTTTATAATTTTGTTCAAAAATTTTTCGATTTGCTTAAAACATTTTCGAGATATGGCGAAATATGCAACAAGTGAAACGGTCCAGACTTTCGACTGCTCTCCTGATCCAACTATCGGGATCCAAATTCGTCGAAAATAATGTATATTTATTCAGATGTAGGATTTTGTGTCTAATTTCGTAACTTCAAATATCGTTTGCTCTAACTAATTAGCATATTTTAGGTCACCCCTTAAAACCATTAAGATTGAGTCTTAGTACTTGAAGATACGATCATTAAATCAAAAGTTATTCCGTACGTTCCATTTTTTTTTCGCATTGTACCTTTAAAAATAGTTTCAGAAAGTTACTACACATCACATTTATAGAAAATAATATTAATTGCCATATAAAATGGGGATTGAGATGTGATGCTAAGGTAGTTTCTCTTCAAGAAATTGATTCCAAAAGAAGATGTTTTTATATAGTTTTGAAAATTCTGGCTCAATTTTTTAAAACGCTTAAACTTTGACGAAGAAAGTTTTTCTGTATAATCAAACGCGCTGCGTTATTTTGTATTAAGGAACTATTTTAGAAGTTTTAGAGCATTTTTTTAAATTAATAATTTAAAGTACAATTGGAAAATTTTTTTAATGATTAATTCAGACAAAAGATTTTATTGTTAAATACAAATAATTTTTTGAGGTAAAAGTGCCCCATAAACTTAGTATTAGCAATGATTTTCCTCCTTAATTGGGGTAAGTATACAATGTATATCTTAAAAAAGATAAGAAAAAAAAATTGGATCCACATTCTTGACCTTTACGGCTCCCAATTACAGCACCCCTTTCAGAATAATGACCAATACATGAAGTTGCGTTTGCTATTTCATAGACGCAATGTTATTTTAACACCAATTTGAATGTCCTCAATGATCTGGTCATTCTCAATATAACGACCGAAATTTATTTTTTTTATTCCCTTGAACATCACTTCAAAAATTAGAGCCAAACATTTTTACAAAATACTCCCACTGACAATAAGTCATTTGATTTAAACCATTATTTCACAACACGTCATTAAATGTGTAGCACCTTTAAATCCCTTTGAATAAAAGAAAATAACAAGGATCCGGAGATTCATAACCCATGCCATGTTTCGTCAACAATTTTAGCTGTCAAGATAACAATAATTGCTTTCAGGTGCTTTAGTGGGTATCCCATTGTCACCCTCTAAAGAGAAATTGGCTTAATACTCTCTTGGCATGATATAGTTATTTTCTCTTGGGGCTTACCTAATAAAGAAGTTGCTATATATACAGGTATGAAGAAAGATTTTTCTCTATCAACAAAAGTGAGATTGAATTGTTAGGTGTCAAAGAGAGAATTACCTTTCCAAGAAGGAGCTATTACTTTATTATGACTAACCACCATTTTATGAGTAGCTAGCTTGTCTCCGGAAACAAGATATTATGTAGTGTTTGTGCCAATTTAAGTAAACATTAGAATTAAATAAAATTTCAATTATCAGAATATTTTTTCTAAACATTGAAAATATTCTGATCGAAGCCGTCACATTTAAGAAGAATTTTAATTCCTTAATAATTTTCTTAATTGTAGCTCAACTCTAATTTTTCACAGAGCCCTATGAAAACCTACAATAATTAAAATTAATTAAATCGATCGTGATGTTCTTCTTCTTATCATTATAATTATTAATTTCAAACTATACAATTCATCATCTGTATCAATGAGGTTTGAAAATTAAACACATATAAGAATTTTAGCATAATAAGGTGATTTCGCGGTAAAAGCATAAACAGAAATTATAATTTTGTTTCTCAATTTCATGAGATTATAAATAAAAAATTTTCTATATACTGATATTTAAGGCATAGATACAAACTTGCGAAAAAAAATTTAAGAAATAAATTAATTTCATTCGTCATGTGCTGTACAGAACTGTGAAATCACCCAATAGTCTTAATTGTATTAATAAAATATTTTCATATAATTTTATTTATTATTATTAATCACAACATTGTTAAATGTGGTTTTATAGTCAACTCACTTTAAGTCTTGAGTTCTGAGGCTTTCCTTTTTTAATCGTTGCTTTCTTTTTCACAAATACATTTTTCGAAAATTTATTAAGTTTCTGAAAAATCCAGTTTAACTACAAAATTAGTTAAATATAGTTGTTTGGTTTTGTCATACGAAATGAAGGAATGTAAATCAATTCTCTCAGTCCAAACAATTTCGAAATTTCGATGAAATTATGTTATATACAAGATAAATTTTATGTACAAAAAGAAAAACTTTTTTTTACACATAAGAGTATTCCATAAACAACTCCCTAAATTATATTTTTATAATTCTTTTCAAAAGTGAACTTGAACTATTAGTCATGTTAAATCCTAGATAGCAAAATAAGTTTTATTTTATCGCAGCAAAAACCTTTTAGTGTATACTTAAAAAGGTTTGTTATGTGATTTACGACAGGTTCTCGTGGTTTTTCTCTCTGTGGTTTTCTTTTGTAATTTAACTCAAATGCGGGTTACTTCAATCAAAAAGTCCTCCACGAAGGCTAATTTCTCCCAATATTTGATCCAGGAGTTCCCTTGTCTTCGCGATTGGATCAAAAATTACAAAGAGTTGAACATTGATAGTCGTTAACTCAAAATTGGGGTGGTTGTTCAACGATGGTTATAAACATATGTCTAGAAATAATCAAAGTTTCATATTATTTCATCGAATAGTTTTTGAGTAGTTACAGTGGTAGTGACAGCATTTTTGCATGCTCGGCAAAAATGTTCTGAAACAGCGGTAACGGTGGCAGTAACTTTTATTTTATATAGTATTATAACATAAAAATAAGTAATTATCTGAAATTATTCGTTTAGATTCCGAATTCTTATTAAAGTATTACATTTTGTAAATATTATTGGTATTTTCGTCAGAGCCGTTGTTGGGCAAGCAAGTGTGGCACTTGCCCTAGGTCCCGAATTTCTAGGATTATAGAAAACCCCTTGCCAAAGTGGAATTTAAAAAAATTTTTTTTTAATAAACATGAATTTTTATTTTTTGAAAACTTTATTTTAATTCATTATTATTAAATAAGAAATTAAATTTGTATTATTTCATTCTTTTTAATTACTTCCTCTCCTTCTTTTTCTCATTTGTATTCCGTTTGAGAAAACCGGTTGTCTACACATTTTTAATTACTAATATTGCTATTAAAATCACATAATTAGAAAATAAGACATGTTGAATATCCTTTGGATGATAATTTCAATGATTTACATAAATACAGTTCCTCATTTTTTAAGGTCTGACGTCTAATATATCATTGATAATATAAAACTTTTCAGAAAAATTACAGTCACACTATTTCGTTCTTAAGAACAAATTGGGGGTAAAAAATTAAATAAGTTTCATAATTTTAAGTAACATTTTAGTTAATTTCCCAAAAGTGATTAATTTCCCCAAGCTCCCCTTCCCCGGTAGAAAGGAAATATGTGAAACCCCCGAGAGAATTTTCTGTTCACAGCCCAGCAAAATCTAGCGATTGCTCTGAATTTTCTTCACTGATGATGTAAAGACCTAGAATTACTTATTATAACGACCGTTTTCGTTTGGATGACAAGGGTCGTTATATGAAGTGCTGAATGTGTATGTAAATGAATGGGTTGCCATACATTTGTATACTACAATGTTAAAATTTCAACCGAAATAAGAAAAAAATAATCCAATTCTGAAAGAAATTCTAAATAACTACAATGAATCTTGTTAGGACTTACTCCTATGCCAACCAGATGACCAATGCGAATATGAAATGGTTGATACAGATGGCCAAGTCTTGAATTCAGGAACTGAAGAAATAAAGTTGTTGGTATAAGTAATCTTTCTACGAAGGCAGTTAAAAGAATTAAAGTTAATGGAATTCCAATCAATCCGTAAACTATGCAGAAAATCTTTCCTCCTTCTGAAAGGGGTGCAACATGACCATAACCTGAAATTACAATTTAAGTTACAAATACAAAAACTCTTATTTTTATTTATATTTAGTGACACGTATATTTTTTAGATTTTATTCAATAAAATATCTCACTTGAAGAATAAGAAAACAAATACAATTATTTTGACTATCAGCATTATACAAGAAAATTAATATATTGATGTTTTGAATTTGAAAGAAAAAATGTGGAAATAATCATTATTAGTAAAAAAAAAAAATTATACAGGGTGACCGATGGTCATAATTTAATTAGAGGTCTTTAAAGCCCGACGCAAGAATACTGCTGGATTTAACTCGATCACATTTGCAGTAGTATATACTATTTGCCAAGGCAAGGGGTGCGATTGTTCCTGCTTTCCAGTGGTGCCATCTGTGGGCAAGAATTCGACTCCAGACACACTCATATGTCACGTCCGCTTATAGGGCGGATCCATACATTCATCCACAGATCATAATTTTGACCTGAACCAGAGAACGATCAATCTCCAATTTTGTACCCCCAGAGGTATAATTTGTTGTGGGAGCATGGAGGACTTCCTGTGGCCTAGTAGATACTATTTAGACTATGGGAATTAGATTTTTTAAAAAAATGGTTTGATTTTTAACTACTAACACGGTCCTTAAAAAGGGGTACATATTTTGTGAAAAAAAAATAGACAAATTTCTTTGTATTAATTTTCCCTTTAAAATTTAAATTCGAAATCCCTGATTTCACAATTGGATATATATTCCGAATTATTAAGCGTAGCGGTGAATACAACTTATTAAAACGCATCTTGTTTTTATTTTTACTTTTGCTACAGCAAAAACTCGTCCTAGGGAGTGAAATGGCACTGTAAGGCTATATATTTGATTAAATAGACATAACAAGAGCAAAAAATAATCATTTTACATGCATTTTTATATCGGCGACGAATTACACAATCATGCTTTTCTTTTGTAAAAGCGTGTTGTATTCAGATTTTTATATAGAAACGAGGTTATTTATAGTTAGACTATCTAAATTTAATGCATGTATGCCATACAGGCATGCTATTCGCTTGCAAGCAATTTGTTTTTACAGTGATGCAGCTACGCAGCTACGCAGCTACGCAGCTTCACAGCTACGCAGCTTTTACAGCTATGCAGGGTCACACTTAATATTCTGGGTGGATCATAAAAGATGGGCAAAACTTGGAGAAGAGCATATCATAATCATTGCTCTGCTTTTTTGGCAGTTTAATGCAGTTTAGGCAGTTTCCAGTTTAATGCACGATTCTTGGGCCAGTAAATTCGATTTATAGGGTAGTTACTCACCACTTCTTCTAAATAATTCAAAGGTTTATGTGATACGCCACTTTGTTACAGTTAGGGCGCGTAGAGCCTTTTAAAAAGTTGGCAAAATTAACCGAAAATGTGCAAATTTTAGTTGGCAGTTCTCTACCGTTTTCAAAAATATTTTGTCGAATCCGGAGCAGTTGACATCTTTGCTTAGACATTAAGAATTGAATATCATCTATTTATACAAATAAGATATTGATTCCAGGGTATTGATTTACGTTGGTATCTCCTTTTTTTCACCTAACCCATTTCAGACCTAAAAGAAAATTAATGACGTGCACCTGTGGCACCGAGGTTCCGTTTGTAGGGGGAGGGTACTATTTCCATAGAGGGATTTTACATAGGGGACAGAATACTTTTCTCCAGGAAAACAACTTGAAAGGGAATTTTTTTTCCCTTACCATCGTTCAATAACTCTCGTTAACATATACACCCTTGTGCAAATTAATTGAAACAAACTTTTTTTTTCGTGTTTTTTAAAGAAGATGTTTTGGGGTTGTTTCGGTTACAATGGGGTTGGACCTTTGCAGCCTATTGACGGTATGATGCGTTCTGAGCAGTACATTACTATTCTGGGTAAAAAAGTTGTTCCAGAGTTGAAGAAACGATACCCTGATGGAACAGGGATTTTTCAACAGGATTTAGCTCCTTGCCATACGTCCAAAATTGTCAAGAAATTCATGTCTGAGAATCAAATTGAGACATTGGAATGGCCAGGGAACTCTCCGGATATCAACCCAATTGAGAATCTCTGGGCCATATGCAAGAATCGCCTATTAAATATGGACTGTACAACTATGGAGAAGCTAATCACGGCGTTAATTCATGTGTGGTACAAGGACACAAATATTATAAATGACTGTAAAAAATTAGTGGAATCCATGCCGAATCGTGTCCAAATGTTAATAAAGTGTCGTGGAGATCATATTATGTACTAAAAATTTTTGAGTTTGTATAAATTTAAATAAAATAGCATTTTCTCTTAGTTTTCTGAATTTATTGAGTTTGCTTCAATTAATTTGCACGAGGGTGTACCGTTCACCGTTTCAGAGCCACTTTCGAAAATGTCTGAGTTAAAATATATAAAAGCTTCCAGAAATGGTAATCTCTTGCTTCACAAAAATTATCTTTACAATATATATCGAAAATATAAGGGCGACACAATTTATTGGAGATGCGAAGATAACAATTGCAAGGCAAAAGTAATAATGAAAAATGTTTTCATAAAAAAGTCGCATGAAAATCACGGGCATGCACCCGATTTTGATAAAATTAGAAGAAAAGAATTTTGTAATAAATTGAATTACGCGATTATTTAATTTAAACATTAATTTCATTTTAATATTTTTGATATAATCTTTTTTTGATATAAATATAAAAGCAAATTGAAAATTTAATTAAAAAAACTCATTTGATTAGGGTCGTAAACAAGAGTCTGTGTTATAAATCACATATTTAATAAGAAAATCGCTCATTCATTTTATACAGTAAGCAGACATTCAAAACAACTTTTTAAACTATTAAACATATTGCTAATTTATTAATAAAATTATTTTTATATCAATTTTAAAATACAAATTATTATGTAAATTTATAAATGCCATTTAAAAAATAAACAAACTGAAATTTAGTTACAACTTTGAAAGTTTATTCAAAATAAAATCTATTCATTTAGAAAATATAAGATTAATTCCCAGTTTAGATTATATGACAATCTATTCTTCTAAAAAATGGTAAGGCTAGAAATAATTCCCTGCAATTTGTAAATTAATGTAAGTTGTTTGAACAATTAGAGAACAGTTAAATATCACAATTGAAAAATATAATTTAATGAATACTGTTCTAAAGTTAATACAGAATAAAAATTTATTAATTTAGAAAATATTGCATAGACTTACAGCTAATTAACTGTACATATTCCTGCTAAGAAAGTGGTACAGATATATACTTAGTGTTTTGCATTTTTAAAAATGAAACAACTAATTCTTCTAAATATGAAGATGGCTTCATGACGATTTCTTTGATAATGAAAAAAAAACTAAAGTAGTTTCTATCAAACTAAAGAGGAAAAATGAAAGATGTAAAGAAAAAAAAAAGAAGTTATTTTTCACAAATATTGAACAAAAAAAGTTAATCAATCAAGTTTAAGTTAGTATTGATTTTTTAGTTACAGCTACTCATCATTTAGTTACTCATCATTAATATAAAAGTGAAAATAAAAAAACCTAAAATTGGAAATCATAATAAAATTTAAAATTTTTTTTTAAACTAAAAGAATTACTTGTCTCCTTAACAGTTTTATATTTAAGTTTATGATCAGTTTTATACTTACAACAGTTTAGATTCAATTTTATGATAGATTTAAAAACTGTTGAAGTGTCCTATACCAAATTTATGTATGCATTAAATTTAACAAACCTCATAATAATTATGCCTAGAATAACTGTTAATCCATTGTATTCTTCGCAAATAAAAATATTATATATTTTACATACTAAATAATGGTAAGTGCAATTACTAAAAATGTCTCGTAGATAAAATGCGTGAAGAATGCTATTATGCAGAATTTATGTTCACATAACTTATCAGAAAAATATTAAGTAAATATAATTTAAGAAATGAGCCAAAAATGTCTTAATTAAATTTTGTTTTCTTTACAAATTTTTAAAAAAATATTTCAGTATCAATATATATTATATAAGTATCAATCATATTATATAAGTATCAATGTATGGATGCTTTAATTTGCAATCTTTTAATATAGGGTACTTTTAAAAAATTGAACTAATTTTAGTGAGTAACTTATGAAAGATGGTTTAATAAAGTTTCATACCATATATTTTTTTTCTTCATATTCTGCAGATTTGAAGTATCCTATCGAAAATTTACAATTTTAAAATAAAAACTAATTGTTGTTAATTCATTATTAAACTATGCTTATTTTTCTTCTTTTAAAAAAGAAACTAATATCTAAAGTCACTAAAATATATTGATATCAAAACATAAAGGAAAAAAAATAATAATTATAAAAATTTAACGAATAGAGAAGAAGATTATTAAAAAATTTAAAAAATTCTTTTAACACAGAATTTTTTTATCATAGAACTAAAAATATAAATTTATGAAATTTGGACCAAACTGAGCCTATTTATATAGGAAAATAATTAGCAATTTTTTTACCAGGCTAATAAAAAATAAAGATTAATTAATTACTAAGATTTCGTGCAAAACTAAAAAAATTACTTCACATCAAAAGTGAAGGGTCCCGAATACAAACTGCACACACATGTGCAAAAGACTAATATGCGAATTCTGAGCCACGGTGGCTTAGATGATAGATCATTCGCCTTCCAATGAGGAGTACCGTGTTCGAATCCAGGCACTGCCTGGTCGATATGAATACTACATAATTACGATGTGAAATTCAAAACAAATCCGGCCCTTTCGGCATGCTAAATGTGTTTTTTCCCGATTAAGTTCAGCAGTTAATATTTCTTAAACTAATTATTGAATGTTATTTTTTTATTCCATTGTTCTCTACTTTGCATTTTTCTTCACACCTTTAATGTTTCAAAGTGCTTTGTTTTGCACAATGTATATATTTATTTAAGACGACCACTCATGCCATCCCCACAAATTTCAGAAGTGGGATTCTAAAAAAAAATTGATGATAA